AATAACTGGGACCTTTTTGGTATTGATTGGACTGGTCCTATACCCATGGGGGATGAAGCCATTGCAACTACACTCGAAGTCCCGGAAACAGTATTTCCAGTGGCCGATGAAGTGAGAATTGAGTTGAATGAAACTTTATCCGAGATAAGCAGCCATCACGGAGATGACATTATGGAACAATATTACGTTGTACGAAATTGCGTTAGAGCAATAATTTCAGAACAACGTGGACAAACAACATAGTGAACATACTAGGGCTGTTTGATGTATACCCTGGATTCCAGAGCCTTCGACAGTAAATAATAAATTGAAACGTCACGAAGGCTCTGGTTCATCGGGAAGATTCTTTGACTAAACCGCGCCAATCACAAAACAGAATTAGTGGTTTTAGTACAGAATCTGTTTAATCAAAGAATCTCCCCGTTGAACCAGAGCCTTCGCGACGTATCAATTTATTATTTACTGTCGAAGGCTGGAATCCAGGGTATTTGATGTACAGATATACATAAAATATAAGTATAAAATCCAATACAAGTACATGAAATCACAATGCGAAACAGTTTAGTAAAAGTTTATTGAGAACAATGGTATATATATATATATATATATATATATATATATATATATATATATATATATATATATATATATATATATATATAATTCAATAAAGGCTGTTTTTTGCAACAGAGATGAATTTACTTGGAGGAAGGGGGGTGCACCTCCTCCCTAGTCCTGGCCCAGAGTGGGAGCTATATTTCATGATAGAGAAAAAATATTAGCGAACTGTGAACAATTACAATTCAGATACAAGACTAGCGTTGGGCGGGCGGTGCACATCACCAATGCAACTCGGAAACAGAGCTGGCAGAACACCACACCAGATCATGCTGGATCAACCTCAAACTCTAAAACTTTAAACTTTAAGCATGCTAAGCATAATGGGAACATCATTTAATCAGTTTAGAAATCGTATATGGGACTCCCTATTCACTCACAAGTAGATGCAATATTCCGCTAATAAACTTGAAACTTGCGATCCAACTAAGCTTTGTACGCTTAGAGTTTGCAAAGACAACCTTTTGAATTATATATATATACATATATATATATATATATATATATATATATATATATATATATATATATATATATATATATATATATATATATATATATATATATATATATATATATATATATTCTAAACACAACAAAAATTTAATTATAAAAATTGTTTATAAGATAAACATAAATACTGCATATATTTCAGTAACATTGACACCAAGTATGGTAACAGATTTCAAAAAACTGTGAATAGACAAACAAATTTGTTAATTTCAATTGTTTCCCACGTTTCAACTACCGCTAATAGTAACTATACGTAATAAATTGTTTACTTTAACATTAATAATAAAGGCAGATTAAAGGGTCCAATAAGAGAACAAAAAGAGAGCCTTTCAACCAAACGAGATGTTGTGGGAGTTGAAAACAATCAACAATCGAATGTTTGTGGGAGTTGAAAACAATGAACCAAAAAAACATGTTCACAGGCACCCTAACGAGTGTGGTAATCCAACTGGAACAATATCAAAGTACACTAATATACAATCAACTCAATCACTCGAGTTTCTCCCAATAAACGTACATTCTTGTGTTCAACTAAGGTGTACCAAAACCCTTAGCATTTCTAACAGCAAACTGAAAATCAGATTTGAAGTCAACGTACTGAGTGTGAACAACAGGGAAACGGAGAATGCATGAGCAAGTGTTTGCTTTAGGAAACTTTGAGAGAAAACGATTTTCTTCCGGTTCATGCAAGAATTCTAACTGCAGTAAAATGCTTCGACAAGGAACAACCCTCAACCCTGATGCAAAAAATAGAATGTCAGAAAAACTGAGTTCACGTACCTTTTCCTCAACATCCAACAGGAAATCTCTCCAAAACGCGAGAAGTCTGTTCTCTACCTCCCATCTGTTGGAGAGCTGTTCACTTCTATTCACAACGAAAAGTTACTCAAATGAATCAGAACTTAAAACTTGTGGATAGAAACAAAACACTCTTTGCAACAAATCGGAATTCTTAATAACAGCATCAAGCAAACCTAAGCATGTTATTCCACTTTTAAAGTTCTCATAGGCTGCCCTAGTCCTATCAAGGACATACCAGTGAGCAATCTCACAAACCACATCTTTAACATCGCTTATGCTTCGCAGAACCCTTAGGGTGCCAGAAAGCTCTTGAATTTCCTCTAATTTCTTATCTGCTATCAACCTATTGGCTTCATCAACCGATTCAACAGACATTAAATTTTTAAGAGTCGACTGCAGCTCCAGATCATACACAGTATCAATAGGAACATGAACTTTCGCATGGCCTTTAATAAGAGAATCAATTAACACCGGGCTAAAACAACTAGGAGCTACTCCAGCGTGAACTAGAGCCATTGAAATCAACTGACCAGCCATGACGTACTCGTCATGTTTCAGAGCCTTAGCATCATAAGACAACAACCTTGAATGCTCTTGCCCACAAAAAAGTTTGCTTGATAATATTGCTTCAAGGGATAAAGTAAAAAATTCCCTCCTTGGCCCACCCATATCCACTGCACGTTCAGAGAGACCGACATCATCAGTAAATTTAAACTTTTTGTTTGGAGAAAATGACTTCCTAGTCATTCCTCTAAAAATGCCATCGCAAATATTACTGCGGCATATGTTGAATTTGGAATTTTTTTCATTTTCGATGTTGGCAGATGCAAGCTGTTGTAAAATATCACTAATATCCATAACAACTTCATCATCGTTTGGAGAATTTTCATCAACTTTTTCTTCAATTAGTTCAGTATCTTCGTCTGATAGATATTCAGCATCAATCTCATGGAACAGAAGAGAGGCATACAGTAAATCATCACTTTCTTCTGTGTCCTGCATCTTGGTAGACTCTGGGTCGCCAGTCTCGCCACCGACCTATATGAACAAACTTAGTAATTGGTTGTTCATGAAGACAATGAAGTATGGAAATTATCATTCTAAGGAAGCACTGTAACTATTGTTTTGTGAAGCCATTCGCATGAATTTATCATCCCCGAGCCAACAGCGCCGTTCGGGCGTTGTTGGGCCCGGACAAAGTTACTAATTCCGTTCGGCTATTTACACTCGGATATTTGAGAATATAGTGAAGTGCTAAGTGGTGCAAAGTTGTCGTCCATTATGTAATAGATGGTCTTATACTGTAGATTATGCGCATGCGCGGGAACAAGCTCTGGCCATTAGGTTCTGCCTAAAAATTAAAGATGTGTGAGGGGGTCCCATAAAAATTTCATAAGAATAGTGGGGGGGCTGGAAAATTTTGTTAAAAATTTCAGTTTCTTCTCCAACTCCACTGTATTTAATGACTATTCCCTTACAATGGTATTTTTCCTGCAACAAATGAGGCTTGACCAAAATATAACTAACAAAAAGCTTGTGCGTATTTCAAAAGCAAATATATTTTACCCTATTTCCGTGCAAACTATTGTCAGCAAAACGAGTTTTTTAAGTTTCCCCTGCAGCTATACTCGAACTGTATAATTTCCTATACTTATTGTTTAATATTTTCCCATATTATTTTCATGTTAGCATTGCAACTACTATTGTTTTTAATCATCAAATACTTCATGTGAGAACTTTTCGGATTTGAACTCAGCGTGGTCGAAAGTGTTAGTTCCGCAAAAATATTTCAGATCTTTTTTTGAGGTCACAACACACAGAATATTGCTGCATGCATGTACAATATGTATTTCTATAGTTTTAGTTTGGTATTTACCCTTGTCTCTGGATTGTCTGTTTCACTCGGAGTATTCAGGAAGGTAGCCTCAGGTAGTATTTCCTCTTCATCAGCATCACAAGCATCATCAACTTCAATAACACTTATATTCTGATCCCTATTATTACCTCCGCCAGGAGGTTATGTAATCATCTGGGTTTGTTACCTCGGCCAGGAGGTTATGTAATCATCTGGTTACCTCCGCCAGGAGGGTATGTAATCATCTGGGTTTTTACCTCTGCCAGGAGGTTATGTAATCATCTGGGTTTGTATGTTTACCTCCGCCAGGAGGTTATGTAATCATCTGGGTTTGTATGTGTGTGTGTGTGTGTGTGTGTGTATGTGTGTGTGTATGTGTGTGTGTGTGTATGTGTGTGTGTGTGTATGTGTGTGTGTTTGTCTGTGAGCACGATAACTCAAGAAATACCAAACATATTCATACGAAATTTTTGGAATGCATTTCCCATCGGCTAAGGAAGAACTGATTAAAATTTGGTTGAATTTGGTTAAAAATTGAACGAGAAATGAACAAAATTTTGTCTTGCTTTTCCCGGTCAATTAAAAAAAACTCACTGAATGCGTAATTAGGACGTGTATAATGTATGCACGCAGTACTAAGAAGACAATGAGATGATAAACCTCATTAAGCTTCGGCCTTCATTATCTATTGTCTTAGTTGCATTTCACACGACCGAAATTCAATGTCTAAAACAAGGCTTTCGGAGTTACGCATTATTACGTTCAGCAAAGTGCCAGTCCATTCAAATTCTAACAAATTAGATTACTTCAATACAGGGTGTATAAAAAAAACGCAACCTCGGAATTTCCCAAGAAATCGACATTGTTTTAAAGACAAAAGATTTTAGCTGCCTGGGAATTTAAAATAGCACAACTGTGAAAATTACTGCCTGCGCGAGTGCATAAAGCAAAATTTATGCATTTATTTAATGACACTTAATAAATTTTTATTTTTCAAGTACTGTACAGTACAACAACAGTAATATGATCTATTAGCAATTCGATTTCAATTCGCGGGGGCCTAAAATCTTTCATGCTTAAGAATTATAAAGTGGATTTCTTAGGAAATTCCAAAGTTGCGTTTCACTTCAGAGTAACGGGCGGAGGTATGCAGTCTCTGAGTGCCCTCTAGTTTCATATTAATTTATTACATGATTAAACATTGAAACTCAAATGAGGAAATAACTGGTTAATAAAAACTCATTTAATTTATGGTGTTGCAGATACTGTAGAGACAGGAGGCCAGGCTTTTAGGCAGAAAGGCTGGGACGCCCCTAGAATGAAAAATGGACACCTTTGGATGCCCAAATTCTGGGGGAAAAGGGAAATTATTTTCAATTGTTTTCCTAAGTATATTAATATATCTGAAACGAAACAGCTTCAATTCTCATTATTATAATACATTTGACATTTTGATCAATTTGATGGTGTACCTGGCTGAATAAAAATGTCGTAGTTATAAGTAAAGAAGCATAGCGGCACAAACTCACAAAGCCAAATGCTTTGAAAATTTCAAACAAGCTTGGAACAGATACTGACATGAAGTAACATAAACTTCAAAGGTTTTTCAGAGGGACATTTTCTCACCACCCCCCGCTCTTTACTGTCGATGTCTCGTTGTACCAAAATTGGACGCCCTCTTTTAGAACCCTGGCTAAAAGCCTGCAGGAGGCAGTGGGGGTTATTCACTATTGGCAAATTAAAAATTTGAAATTATAGCATGATTGGTGGGGGGGGGGGGGGGGGTGAATTAAACAAGTGCTTCATGAACTGACTGTAATTTTGTTGCAAAAAGAAAATTTGGCCTTTTCAAGGAAATGTGATTGTTGCCTAGGAAATAAACATTACAACGAAATAGCAAGGAAATTTTGTTGTCAAGAAGGAATTAAGGAGGAATTTGTCTTATTTATAATAAATCCTAAGAATACAGCAATTTCCAAGAAGATCCACATCAGAAATTGCCGAAAATACTGTCCTGCAGGAATGGAAAATCTGAAAATTTTCTGGAGGAGTGCCCTCAAATCCTATCAATTTTACTTTTTACAGTTGATTTCACATAACTTTTCTCTGAATGTTGCGAACTTTGTTCCGAACTTCGTTATGAAGTTCAAAAGTTCATACTGAAATCCACAAGCCAGCTTGTAAACAAAGCCTCTGATTGGCTTATTTTTGTACAGGGATCAATCAGAGGTTTTGTTTACAAACCGGCTTGTGAATTTCAGTATGAACTTTTGAACTTCACAACGAAGTTCCAAATGAAGTTCGCAACATTCAGGGAAAAGATATATGAAATCAACTGTAATAGTAAATTTAAGTAAACTCCCATTTTGACGAGTGGCATAAGAAGCAATTTGATATTGGTGGGGGGAGGTTGGAGGAGAGACATCTTTCTAAATAATGCATGAGTCAATTCCATGAGTAAGCATCCTCCTCCCTGGGACATTGCCGGGCATTTGCTAGGCACACCATTCCTGGGGCCGTGAATTTGCACACAGGTTAGGGATCGGGCATTGTTTGGCGGCTAAAAGACCCCAAACATTTGACACTAGCGAAAAAACGCAATTATCAAAAATCTTCTGGTATTAAACTTGTTCAGTAACAGTGTATTGTTACTTTTTGCCATCTAATGATTGTCCGGGGGGGGGGCATACATTTCCTCCTGATGTCCCTTTTTCCTCCCAAAAAATTGCTAATGTCCAGGTATATTACAGGAGGGGGGGGGGGGCATGGTTACTCATGGAATTGACACGTGGATAAGAGCTGTTTATCGTTAATCTGTAGTGTAAGCTTACCTGGTATTTCTCGAGGTAGTTGCCGTTGTTGTCGTATTATTTTCAGGACACAAGTTAAGATGTTCCCTCAACTTATTCATGGGGAATATATTCATATAATGATTACAGATTTCTTCTATAATTTCTCCTTGATCTTTGGCTTTAACCATAGCTTTTAAGTCAAGATCGCAGTGTATTGGGCGAATATATACTCGTCCTTGTTCGACAAACTGTTTGAGAAACTCAATGGTATACCCATTTTCTCCCTCATCTATAACGGAAAGCTGACGAGAACTGGCTTTTGCGTACATAAATTCATATCCACCACCATCGGTCAACTTTGGGTATGTTTCCTTTAGTGCAGCCACAACATCAGACGAAGTTGAGTCTGCTTGTAGGGTTACCTTCATTTCGCCAAGTCCAGCGACGAGCAACTGTTGCTTTTCATCATTATTCGGAACATCTCGCTGGGTGGTGCTCGCAAGACAGAAAAACTTTATTGATATTTCTTTCACTGATTTTCTTCTTTTCGGTGCTTTTGCATGATGATTTGTAGATGCTCTTCGTTGGGGTATATTGCCATTCAATGGAACGGAACGAGAGGTGGACGCATTTGCTTGATTATACGGTGCAAACAGCCGCCGAAATTCATCCCTCGCTCTCGCCGGCCTGTTGTTTGTTATAAGGCTAGATGCCGCTTGTGACAATAGACGTGCAGCTTCAGCCAGAGCTGGTTCTTTGGCCATTTAAATAAACGTTTTTTGAATAAATATTAGTATGATAAAATTCATGAGAAGCTGTGAATACTGAACACATGTCAAGATATATTTATGCTGAAAAGTGAATTTTCAATGACTTCCGGTCCACATGATCGCGCTAGTCACAAACCTCTGGCTAATGAAAAATTGGTGCTGAATAATAAAAATAATCTGAATAATAAAAATAAGCTGAATAATAAAAATAAGCTGCATAATAAAAATAAGCTGAATAATAAAAATAAGCTGAATACCATGAAAATAAGCTGAATAATAAAAATGAGCTGAATAATAATAAGCTGAATATCGTGAAAATAAGCTGAATAATAAAATTAAGCTGAATAATAAAAATAAGCTGAATAATAAAAATAAGCTGAATATCATGAAAATAAGCTGAATAATAAAAATGAGCTGAATAATAATAAGCTGAATATCATGAAAATAAGCTGAAAAATAAAATTAAGCTGAATAATAAAAATAAGCTGAATAATAAAAATAAGCTGAATAATAAAAATAAGCTCAATATCATGAAAATAAGCTGAATGATAAAAATGAGCTGAATAATAATAAGCTGAATATCATGAAAATAAGCTGAATATTAAAAATAAGCTGAATAATAAAAATAAGCTGAGTAATAAAAATAAGCTGAATAATAAAAATAAGCTGAACAATAAAAATAAGCTGAATAATAAAAATGAGCTGAATATTAAAAATAAGCTGAATAATAAAAATAAGCTGAATAATAAAAATGAGCTGAATATTAAAAGTAAGCTGAATAATAAAAATAAGCTGAATAATAAAAATAAGCTGAAGAATAATAAAAATATGTTGAATAATAATAATTAAAAATATGCTGAATAATAATAAAAATATGCTGAATAATACAAAATCAGCTGAATAATAATAAAAATAAGTTGAATAATAACAAAAATAAGCTGAACAATAATAAAAATAAGCTGAATAATAACAAAAATAAGCTGAATAATAATAAAAATAAGCTGAATAATAATGCGAAAAATAATATGGTATTTATATAATTTTGGCGGATATGGCACGTACCCCATACCAGGAATGTTTCAGTAGTTCAATGATTTTTGTTTATGAAAAAGCAAAGTGTGAAATGAAAAAAGGAGGAAATGTTTCGATATAAAAAGTTTATTTTTGAGCAAAATTTTGTAGAAACGCACTACCTACAAAGAACGGCTTCACCCCCCCCCGAGTTATCGTACCAGTTTACCTATCCCACTTTTGAAACCGCTAGCTGCATGCATTCCTTTTCCCAGGTGTAAATAGCCGTGAGGAATTAGCACCCTTGCCCTGGGCTTACACCAGCTGGAACGGCGGTTCGCGCCGTTGGTTCGGGGAAAGTGCATTAGACGCAAAGCAATTTAATATTTAACTAGAAATTTACACGCATGCACCAACACTCGCCCTTCCTTAAAGGTAGGTTACAGTCCCTTCTGCGCATGTCTGTGATTGTTTTTGCCTGGGGACTCCACCGCAAGTTGGCTTCTCGGTTTATACTCGGTCCAGTCTCATTTCTGGCAATAACGCGCGCGTTGTTTCTTTCGCAAGCGAAGGAGTGAAGCTAGAATTTTCCAAAATATATTGAGCTTTTTTGAGCGACAACCTTTCAAATAACGAGTTTTTGAGGCAACATGACTAGTAGGAAAGAATACCACGCTAGCGGGGATCCTTCCAAAGTGTATCAAAGTGTGTATATTTTATTGCTTTCCTCGATGGAGAGCTTGCCATTTCTGTCTGCGTTTCCCCGTGATATACCTACATCCTCAAGCTTCTACTAAAGGTTTTCAAGAAAAGAATCCAAGAAGGATTGGACATTTCACCCAACATAGCTGCTATTCACTCCCTCCCTTCACTGTGGATACTTCAGCGAAATCGCTTGTTGAAGACCATCAATCGAGGTTTTAATGACTATAAAATTCTCTTTATTTACTATTTCAAATTTTAATTATACACTATCGACTATCGTTACATACGAACTGTTCTATCTCTTTTATTTACAAACTGAAACCCATATAATTAAGGGGCGGACCATTTGACTTTTGAGGTGGAAGATTCAGTCCGTGCAATAATTTGTTTTCCGCCCAGGTGAACAAGACAGATATTTTTTTCCTGCAAAAGTGCAGCGCAAGATATTTTTTTCCCAATATATTTGGCGGCAGGATATTTTTTTTGCCTCTCATAATAACAGCTTACAGTAACTTAAGGCTTTCATATAGCTATCATCAGAGACGTAGCAGGGGTTTTCAGTCAGAGGAGGCCGAGAACTGAATCCCAAGAGGGGCCAAGGAATTTTCATTGTGCTTTTTTTATATGGTTATGTCTTAATATTCGCCACACTAAAGCGTGCATGTTTACTTACAAAATCTATATAACTGCACCAAAACCTAAAACATGCAGGAATAGAGTACAGTACTCGAAAATGGGGGGAGGGTACAGTATATGAATGACCTGTAACCTTGGGGGGTTGGGGGGCATGCTCCCCCGAGAAAATTTTAAAATTTGAACCTCGGAAATGCTATTTCCTGCGTTTTCAGCCATGGATTCGTCCACGACAACTTTGCTGTACTAAGCCTAAGGAACACTTGCTGTCCTTTATTTTAAACAGGGGAAAATCACAAAATGAGCTTTGATTAATATGTAATAAAACAAGATTTCAATAATGCAAGTTTTAACTGCCCTCCGAAACAACAATGTTCCACCAAATATAGCTCTGTAGTTTTTCAATCGTTCATACAGATAGCTTGTTGTGGATCAGGCTGCATCCTCTTCAGAATTTTTTTTTAAATCTAGACTCTCTAAACTGGCATTTTCGCATTAAAATCATCGTATATACAGTACGTTCAACTTGCATCCTGTAGATGGGCCTTTGAAGCTTTAATAGTTTGGAGCTATGTTATCAAAAAACGCACACAGACTCAACCATCCAAAAATACTTCTTCTACCATGCATATTAGATATTTATAAATAACTTATAAACTTGTACATAATTATCTTAAGCCCAGATTTTCTCAGGGGGTGGGGCAACAATTTTGCCAGGGAACACCACTGGCTATCGTATGTCAGAGGCTCCAAAGGCGGTAGAATCCCTGTGATGTTATCCACTGTTCACCCCGTGTTCTTTTAAGCAAATGTGCCTGCTCAAAAATGCAAAATCTTGCAAGCCTGTGGACACAATACTGAAGTGAAGAGCATCAGTATAGTTACATGTAGAAATTTTTTTTTTGAGCACTTTCTTTTGCATGATATTTTTTTTTCTCGATTGTATGCTGCATGATTTTTTTTCTTTCTCCTTGGGTTGTAGGAAATTTTTTTTCGAAATCTTCCACCCCCCTCAAAAGTTAAATGGTCCGCCCCTAAGGCCTACAGATATGATACTCGTGAGTAGGAGTTGTCAATGAAAAAGTGTTACTGAGCAATTTGGAGTCAACATGTTTTGGATGGCTGTGTATAATTGTAGTGTTTCTTGTCAGAGTGATAAATGATAAAAATTAATCTGCTTGACCGTGCTTTACTGTCTTTGACTGTCTTCTCATGGACAACTTGTGCTCACTTAATAGAAACACATAAAAAGTTTCTCTGATCAAATACAAAGTATATTTTAATCAAAGCAGCTTACAGCCCTCGACAACGAGGTCGGCATTCGGCAATGCTGACCTAAATGCCGACCTATCCATTCATATTGTACTATGATTGCCTGATCTTGTGTCACAAATAGTGGTACCATCCCATATATATATTGTCAGAACAAGCTGCCATGCCCATGGCCTGTTTTGTGACATGAAATCAGACGGTAAAACCCTGCATATAATAAGAACCTAGATTTTTTCCAAGTTATAGCCTAAACAGGTTCTTATGTGAATGGTGCTTACCTGAATTCATGTCACAAACTGTAATTATATTTAGTATATTCAGTACTTTCAGGGGGGCGCAAGCCCTTGAGTCATATTCATGCCTATCCCCTTGGCTTGGATATATGTGTTTTAATAATAATTGTTTATAAATTATTTGTATTATCATATAACCCAGTAAATCTGTTAAGAAAAAGAAAGACTGATTCGTTGATGTAAATAAAAATTTCATCAGTGTTTCCTGAGCATTCCGATAAGCTCTGATATACAGCGAAACAAGCATATATTTAGCAATTGTCCTCTGTCTTGAAGAGACATGATGAACTAACGTGATCACTAGATTGACCAGAATTGTTTAAGTTAATATTACTATTAGATAATTCAGTGTCACAAGAATATCATCATTTAGTGTGAATATGAGAGTAATATCAATGAATTCATACTTCCAGTTCATAATTTCAAAACATACATATTTATAAAACAAAAAAGTTGAATATAATCTTAGCAAGATTGTGTTATTGTGTACAAACATATCCAGTGTAGAAATGTACAAGAAATGCAGCGAAGTATTGTCAAACATTGCACTGCTCGATCACAAATTATGTGGAATGTTACTTTGAACTCGTCATATACTTCTTCTTATATAATTAATGCGGATCAAAACAAAAAACGTAAACAAAGCCAGCGCATGAGTAGAAGGGACTGTAACCTACCTTTAACAGACGAACTATAATTCTAAAATATTGTGTCAGCATGAAGTATTTCATGATTGAAAACAACAGTTGTTGCTTTGGTAACATGAAAATCATATTTTCAATTTTGTAAAACTGCAAATGAACTACAAGAACTTTGTAAAGTTCGTATATTCAACAAAAAAGCAGATAAGTAAAATCTTTAACTGCAGAATCATTGGATTTCACATTCTATAATGCACTGCTCATGCCTTTATTTGACGTACAATAGGATCCATCTTAATATAAAATTAATTCATTTTATTTAATGCCATTTTATGTCAGGTAAAACATTTGAAAACTTTAACAAACGTACGTGCACTTGGTCTAGCAAGCCCCAAAACAGTGCTGCCAACAAACAGCTTGCTCGAAAATATGCCAAAAA